AATTATAAAATATAAAATAATATATAACCTAATAATTATTTTAACATTTTAAAATATAAAATTATAAAAATATAAAATTATAATATTAGGTTATATATAATTATTAAATTATTATTAGGTTATATATAACAAAATTAACCCATTTAATTATTTTGGGGTATATAGTTCAATGGCATTAAGTATATTCACAGTGTTGTGTACCTATCACTACTGTCCATTTCCAGAACTTTTTCCTGATCCCATACAGAAACTGTACGCTTTCTCTAGCCATTGGTAACCTTTATTCTACTTTCTGTCTTTATGAATTTGCCTGTACTGGTACCTCATCTAAGTGGAATCATACAACATTTGTCCTTTTGTGTCTGGCTTATTTCACTTAGCATAAAGTTTCCAAGTTTTATCCATGTTGCAGCATGTATTAGAATTCTCTTCTTTTTAGAATAATATTTCATTGTATGTATATTTCACATTTTGTGTAACCATCTGTTGATGGACATTTGGGTTGTTTCTACCTTTTTACTTGTGAATAATGCTGCTGTCAACGTTGATGTACAAGTATCTGTTTGAGTCCCTGCTTTCAATTCTTTAGAGTATACACCTAGAAGTAGAATTGCTGGATCATATGGCAATTTCTGTTTAGTTTTTAGGAATTGCCAAACTGTTTCCTATAGTGGCTGTATTATTTTACATTCCCACCAGCAATACACAAGGCTTCCAATTACTTTATATCCATATCAAAGCTTGGTTTGTTTTTTAAAAAATAATAGCCATCATAATGGGTGTGAAGTGGCATTGATTAATTTTTGAATGCCTGGCATAAACCCCAGTTGGTCATGATAACATATTACCTTTTTTATATATTGCTGGAATGGATTTGCTTATATTGTTAAAGGATTTTTATCTCTATGTGTGAGAAATATTGGTCTGTGTTTTTCTTTTATTGTAATATTTTTTGGTGTGGGTTATCAGGAAAATACTGACTTCATATAGTATATTTGAAAATATCCCCCTCCTTTCCTATTTTCTGGAAGAGTTTGGTATTCTTCCTTACTTGTACAGGAGAAGTTACTAGTAAAGCCTTTTTGGCTTGGAATTTTCTCTTTGGGAAGGATTTTTAACTGTAGACTCAATTAAAAGTAAATATAAAGTTACACAGGTTGTCTGCTTCTGCTTGAGTGAGCTTTGGTAGTTTGACTCTTTCAAGGAATTTGTCTATTTCATGTAAGTTGTTGAATTTATTACTATAAAGCTATTCATAACATTCCCTTATTCTTTTAACGGCTACAGAATCTGTAATGTACACTCTCTCATTCTTGATGTTGGTAATTTCTTTTTTCTTTCCCTTTTGCTCAGTCTGGCTAGGGACTTATCAATTTTTTTAAAAATCTTTTCTAACAACTGTGTGTTGGTTTCATTGATTTTTGTCTATTTTTATATTTTAATTTTATTGATTTCTGCTCATTTTATCCTTCTTTTATTTGCTCTGTGTTTTAATTTTCTGTTCTTTTCCAAGTTTGTAAGATGGAAGCTTAAACTATGGAACTGAGAAATTTCTTTTCTGATTTAAGTATTTAATGCCATGAATTTCTTTTTAAGTTACTCATTTAGCTCTGTCCCACAAATTTTGACAAGTTGGCTTTTTATTTTCATTCAACTCATAATATATTCTCTAATTTCCCCTTTGATCTCTTCTTTATGTCTGTTCTGATTGTCTACTTGTTTTATCAAGTGTTAAAGTCTCCAGCTGTTAAGTTTGAATTTGTCTACTTCTTTTTTCAGTTTTTGTTTTATGTATTTTTAATTTCTTTTTATTCTCTGTTTCCTCCCATGAAGATGTTTTATGTATTTTGAAGTGTTGTTGTTATACATATAAAATTAGGGTTGTTATGTCTTTTTGGTTACTTGACCACTTTATTATTGATATTTCCCCTTTTTCCTTGTTCTAAAATCTGTTTTGTTTGATATTAGTATAGCCACTCCAGTTTTATTTTGATTAGTGTTTACATGGAATATCTTTTTTAAAATTTAAAAAAAAATTTTTTTTTTTGAGACAGAGTCTTGTTCTGTTCTCCAGGCTAGAGTGCCATGATGTCAGCCTAGTTCATAGCAACCTCAAACTCCTGGGTTTAAGCAATCTTTCTTCTGAGTAGCTGGGACTAAAGGCATGCACCACCATACCTGACTAACTTTTTTTTGTTTGTTTTCTATTTTTAGTGGCCCAGCTAATTTCTTTATATTTTTAGTAGAGACTGGATCTCATGCTTGCTGAGGCTGGTCTTGAACTCCTGACCTCAAGCAGTCCTCCTGCCTCAGCCTTCTAGAGTGCTAGGATTAGAGGCATGAGCCAGCACACCCAGCCTGGGATATTTTTTTCATCATTTTACTTTTAGCCTACAGTCTCTATGTTTAAACTGGTTTCTTTTAGGAAGCATGTGGGTCTTGCTTTTTAAAATCTAATTTGATAAACTCCGCCTTTTAGTTGGGGTAATTAGACCATTTGCATTTATTATAGTTATCCAGATGGCTGTATTTAAACATACCATCTTACTAGTTGTTTTCTGTTTTTTTCCACTCATTCTTTGTTCACTGTTTTTTCTTTTACCTCTATTGTGGTTATACATGTTACTTCTATATATATTTTAAACTCCATAATTCATGGGCACTAATTTTGCTTTATATAGTCAATTTGTTATCTTTTTAAGTGATTAAAAGCAGGGAAAAATGTCTTTTATATTTACTTTCACTTTTACCATTTTCAGTGTCCTTTATTTCTATAGATCCAATTTTTTTTTTTCTGGTATCATACCCTACTTGAAGAACTTCCTTAAATATTACTTGTATTAGTAGGTCTGTAGGCAGTGAATTCTCTCAGCTTTTGTTTGCTTTAAAAAAAAAAAAGCCTTTATTTCACTTTCATTCTTTTTCTGTGATGGTTTTATGCACAGAGTGGAGAGAGGGCTCAGTCCTTCGGGAGAGCTGCTTTCCTCCTGATACTCAGGATATTGCTCTCGCTTCCTCTTGGTGGGATGTATGTTTTTATCTTATTCTTGATGAACTTGAGGGCCTGCTTGTCCTTGTAGACCTGAGCAGCTCCACAGCACGTCACTTGCTTGGGGCAAAGCCATATCTCTCAGGTCATGAATCACACAGACTTTTTATGCTTGGTGAGGCGCCTGAGGTGGTGACACTGCTCCGGCTTACTGTGACATTCATTATGATTTTATTTTCCAGGGGTTCTGAAGTGGCATGGACGATTGCCTTGCATCAGTTGTGTTTGACACTTGAGTTTTATTCAGAAATTCATATACTTTAGAACTGGGAAATTTCATGTATTATTTCTTTGATAATTTCCTTCCTTTCATTTTTGCTATATTGCTTTCTGGGATGCTGGTTAGTCTTATGGATGGTCTTGTGATTTTCTTTTTTGTTTTTTTCCCTATTTTGATCTCTTTTGTTCTGTTTCTTGGGAGACTTCCTCAACTTTGTCTTCCAGTCTCTCTTTGACATTTTTACTTCAGTTATAGTATTTTTGATTTTCCAGGATTTTTTAAAATTGTTTTTGTTCTGTTCCCTGCATTATCCTCCTGTTCTTTGTGGGTCTGAAGCCAGGAGGTTGTCTTCTGAAGGGTAAATGAGGGAGGAGGCTGAGGATCTTCTCTTTTAGTATGTAACCTTGGACTCCATCTCCTTATTTGCAGGGTGGCATGTGGATCTCACCCTCAACGGTGCCTGGTATCCAGATCCTCTCCTAAAGAGGAAACCCCCATTAGGAAGGGGTAGGCACCTGGCTTCTTGGGGTCGAATAGGTGACTTGGGGATTTCATAATACCTTGAAAAGACTTCTAGGCAATCTTTCTGTTTTCAGCTCTTTCTAGGATTGATCTTTAGATATACCAGAAGTACTTGTAATTCCTGAGACTTTCTGGGGTCCTGGGTTACAAATCACATTATTTGGAAGCTCTTTATTGGCTTCTTCCCTCTGCAGGTTAGGATTTAGCCACTCACATCTGCTAAGCTAGTGACAGCCTGTGTATCTGCTTTTAGGGTCCAGACTTTGACTGACTTGCCTCTACTGTTGTCTCCTTTTGTATTGTGTGTGTTTGTGTGCATGTGTGTGTGTGTACTTATGGATTCTTAGATTATCAATTTAGAGATATTTTGGGGGAGAGAAGAGAATACTCCTTGTGTTCACTGTGCTATGTATAAACAGAAGAAACCTTACAAAAGCCTTGGGGTAGAAATCAGAGAGCAATAGGCTTGGGATTTAGTTGAAGGTGAAAAGTTAGGCACAGAGAATATAATCTAATATTTAAATAACCTTAATCATTATTAGAGGAGAGGAATTAACAAAGGAGGAATGAAATGGTGAATGTATTATTATCAACTTCAACTGAACTGCAAATGCCTGGGAGTCTGCATTTTTCTAATCAGCTTGCTCTTCTCCTCCCTAAAGTGTCTTGTTCCTTATTGTCTACACTTTCCTCAAACTTATAGCCTTCCTCAATCAGCTTTCCTTTTATTTTGTGATTTAGTCTTGTATTTCACAGAAAATATGGAAATGGGAGGCCCCACAGGCCTTCCCCACCAACATATACCTGCATTTACAAATGTTTTTGCTCCTCCTCCATCCTTTTACCACAGAGGAAGTGTTCTCATTGGTTTAAAGGTTGGTCCATCTGTGTATATCAGGATGAGTCAGTCACTGAGCGGAGTGCATTACAGAGATCACTGATTCTCAAGATGGGGTTGGAAGCTACAAATTTTAAGTGATATCAGTTTGTAAGGTTCTGCGGTCCATGGAATCTTGGACATGGAAGCAAACAAGGCATATTGGTTGGCCTTTGATTAGGGATTTGCAGGATGGGTTTACAGAAGGATAAAGGTAGGAATAGTTGAGAGCTGAAAGGAGAATGATATGGGATCCTAGTGAGGCAGATAGGAAAGTAAGCTGTAAGTAGTGCAATAGATTGGGGAAAATCAAAAGGCTGGAAGGACTGAAATTCAGTTTAGAAAAAGCATGTTTATAGGAGTAAAGAAAGTCATCTAAGTGTATAATAGAAGAAATACAGAAGAAAAATCTGGAGGATGAGCTATACTTTGTGCCAGTGGGTTTCCTCTTTCCATGGTTCTCGTTAATAACTTCTTGGGCCTTGTTCCTGCTGACCTCTTCCCCATAAACAGTGATCTCTAAAAGAGTGAGAAATCTTGGCATTAGGCATAGCTCTCAGTTGATAATGAAATACTACCTACTGGTTAAAATTCATAGTTATCAAGGTAACGAAATCAAGGTAAGGGACAGAAGAAATTAGTACAGTTGAAATGAAACAGATTTTATTTATTCCATCCATTAAAATGAAAAGGTACTTATTTGGAAAGCCTAGAATCCTGCCTCTAACTATGGAACTGCTCCAGGGTTCCTGACACATAAGTACTTCTCTAAGACCCTAAGCAGTTGACGACAGTTTGATAAGTATACACTATGTTTTAGAGGTATGAATAAAATTAAAAATAAGGAAAGAATTAAAAAGAAAAGTTGAATATATTTTATCTCTCTCTTCACCAGATTTTTACACTAATAATGATTTTAGCTTTTCAAAATCTTCTAAATTCTTTTCATCTCTCATACATAGATACTTCTTGTTTCTCCTCATTTGTTGTTTACAGTAGAGTCCTTTGCATCCCACCCATACCTTTAGAGCATTCTTCTTATTAGTTCCAAATTCTATTCTTTATCTCAGTAGTATTCTTTCCTTTCTTAGGTGTAAACTGTAAATGCACAGGGTATACCTCATCCATAACCATAACTTTTGTTTTTTATTTTCTTCAGCTGCTTCTTTCTTTCCTAATAATGATAGTACAAAGGTGGCATGGCTACTGTTTCTTCAGTTGGAAGACCTAGTTTGATGTGCTGGTACCTTCATATGTTATCTCTGTGACCTTAGACAAATTATTGAACCTCTCTCACCCTAGTTTGCTTCTCTGTAAATTGAATATATAATATCACTTATCTTACCAAATTTTTGTGAGGATGAAAATGAGATAATCCATATCCATGCGAAACACTTAGCACATTAGCAACCACACTTTAAGTCTTAGTATCAGTTTGTTTTATTACACAGCAATTTCTGTCCTGTGAAGGATGCCTGTGTTAGCATTTTGCAATCAAAGGTTATAGCAGCAATCTCTCAGAATAGTGAATGTGGAGTAAGAGAGGAATTTGTATTTTAAAGAGATAAAATAAATAATTAAAGGGAAAAAGAGACGCTGTTTGCTTCATATGAAGCCATTGACTGTTTTTAACATGCCATTCAACTTATTTTTCAGGATTCTTTATTTTCTTTTTTGCTTCTTTTGTCTGCCACTATATCTTTCCTTATAGTAAAAATGAAAGAGAATTCAATAAGAAATTGTTTAAAACATAAATGAACATTGGTAAACTATTTGCTAGAATTGTATTTTATGTATATATATGGATTTAATTTATCCATTTGGCCTTTGACGTCTGATGACATACGTATAAAATGCTGCTCATAGTGAGAAATAAGCCTTTTTTTACCCACTCCTGTACTTCATATCAGTAGTACCATCACCACAAAAAGAAAGCATCACTAGTTAAAGTCACTTATTAATTTGATTATAATACTTACTACAAAATATCTGTGTTTCAGATTGTATTTAATACCAAACAGATCATGTGGTAAAAGTCCAGATATTACATGTTTTCCTTAAAGTTAAGGCTTAGCTTTCAATTTTTTGTATATGTCATTAGCAATATTTGGTCGTTCTTATCACAAGACTTCTCCAGAATGAACATTGTAACATTTCTGTTGTTAATCTGACCTCAGGAGTGATAAAGAAGCTGTTAGTCACTTTAGTACTTGTGATGATTGTTATTGTTTACTGTCTGAATAGGAATTATTTATTTTTTAATCACCAAGTTAAAGAATATAATAATATTACAATATTATTATAATATAATAATAATATAATAATACTGAATATTGGTCTTTCTTGACACCTTAAATTATAGATTTAAATGAGCAGGTAAAAGCAGAAAGAGACATAAAAATAGATTCAAATGCAGAAAAGGAGTAGATGATACTGTTCATGTTATTTGTGTAGCCATTGTCCCAGCATCAGGGATGGGGAGAATATGCAGAAAAATTGTATGAGAGACCTATGTCTTTGCTTAATTGATTAGTCAACATTTTTTCTTTTTGAATAAGCCTGTTTTTCTGTATTTAAACAGTTGATTTAATCTTTCAGACAGGGGAAAACAAAGGATGGAGTGGTCCAAAGGCTGGGTTTCCTGAACCACCAAGTAATAGTAAGTTCTCATTTTTATGTTATCTGCACTTGGTATTCATCAATAGTTCAGTGACTAGCTATCCCTGGGTCTGTATGGGCCCAAGATGCCCAGTATTGTGGAGGGTACAAAGGAGTCATGGTGTTTGCTCTCCTGAAACTAATAGAATAACTGGAAAACCGAGACACAGCCACTCATATCCTAAACATGGTTAAACCATTACAGATGGAGTACCATTTAATCCACATAGTGATGGCAGTTCTTTTTTTAAGTTGTCATTTTTATTGAAACAACATTATTATGATATAAAAAATTTGAAAAAAGAAGCAGTTATCTACGAGCTGATTACGTTATCAAATCAGCTTTCACTGTTTCAATTGTTTTTATATGCACACAAATTTTTATATATAATATGGATAAAATTTTTATTCTGTTTTCCTTTAATGTTGCTATATGCGTTTTTCACATTTTGCTGAGTCATTAGAACTTTTAATATTTTATTAAATTCGCTAAGTGAAATATCAGAAATGTAAGAAGAAAATTACTTGGTTTCATCCCACTTATAATATTGCCAGACATTTAGCGATGTACTTCAGTTTATTTCTTTTTGCAAATGTACATGATCAAGGTATTTTTGTATTGGGCATATAGAAATTTTTCCTTTTCCTTTTTCCCTGCCCCTCCCCAAAAGCATCTATTTGCTGAAGTGACCATTTTACTATAAATCAGTGAATCAAAACATTTAAACAGTGAAAACACCCAAACTCATTTCTAACCCTATCTCTCTTCATTACAACCTCTGGACACTGAACAACCCTAAATCTGAAAATTGTCATAATGAAGGTTCTTTAGTCTTTGATATTGGCAGCTCATCTCTTGAAGTATAATGAAATTAGTAACAAATTCTTATCAAAGCATGCTTATAAGAATTGAATTCGTGGACCACTAAAGCTAGTTAGCCTCTTGAAAAGAATTTTTCAGTGAGGTAATGATATTTTTGGGCTACTTTATGGCAATAATTTAATGTGCCTCTGAGCTCTTGGACTACGTACATAGGGGTGATGACTGCGATGGGCTTACCACGTAGCCTAAGGAAAAAATGGAATCAGTTCAGGATTCCTAGAGTTTGTGTTTAATTCCTTTGATGTTCAAGTATATTGGTTCATAATTACTTAGTAAGGAAATGTAAGAAACATTAAATTGATTGCAGTTTTATATAAAGTACTTAGCACAGTACCTGTTTCCTAGTAAGCATGTAATAAATGTTGATTTCCTTCCATGCTTCTTCCCTCCTTTCTTTTGTAAAAATGATATAATTCTGTGTAGGCTTGCCAGAAGTTCCCTTCTTATACTTCTTATCTGTCAGATGTTTTTGCATACATATGGTAACCAAAGAATACATAGTTTATTCTTGAATAGTTATGTTTTGGCACTCGACATTTTTTTTTCAAATAATATAAATGTTATGTATTTGAATGTAGAAATCAAATAGTTATTAACTTGACAATTTTAACATGAGAGTACATTATAGATAATCTGCTAAATCCATCATTAAACAGCAGTATTTCAGCCCCTACCTTTATGTGTTTGTTGATTTTTTTTTAACTTGCTAAGGAACACTAGAACTTGTCTGCAAATATGGGAAGGGACATCATAATGAGGCCCATGAGTTTAATCAGAAATGTGTAAGAATGCTTAAAAGTTTTGCTTTAGATATAAAGTTAAAAGTGATAAAGCTATCTGAAGCCAATTTAGTGCTTTAGGAATTCCTCTAGTCTACTACAATGGTTCAAATTGAACATTTGAAAAAAGAACATTTTCTCTCTTCTTTCTAGCTTTGTGGGGGGCAGGTGTGATAAAACTGATGTTAGGGTTCTTCCAAATGAACACTGAGTGGTCCTTGCCCTGGGTTACCATTGGAGCATAGAGGCAGAGTAGCTCCAGAGTAACTGTTTCACTCTCCAAGGGCCGTTGCTCACTAGAGAAACCCTAGAGTACCCATGGAGCTAGCTTGAAGCTACTTAAATAAAACATTAGGAAAATTTGGTTTCTGCTTAGTAATTGATCACTCAGGTGATGAATCCATTACCTGAAAATTAAGTTCATATATTATGGTAACATTTAGGTTAACTTCTCTTCTACTTAATCAGTTCCTTATGTTTGAAATTCTGCTCTAGATTATTTTTGTCCCATGAAGAATACCTGTGTTAGTATTTTGCGGGCAAAGGTTAGAGCAGAGATCTCTCAGGATGGTACATGTGGGGGAAGACAGGAATTCAAGATTGCCAATGCTGGCTGCCTCACAGACATGTTGTCTGTGCTTGAACAACTTATTGTACATCTTATTCATTGTGCTAAGAGTTATGCATGCTAATTTATAATGTTGAGAATCTTTAATTATGTAACATTTATAAAATGATTATATCCTTGAATGTAACATCTGAAAAGGTAACATATTACTTCGTGAAAAACACCGTGTCATCATGAAATGGCTTTCTCTATTATGTCTTTGTTAAATTCTACAGTACTTCAAAATCATAGTTTTAAAGGTCAAATTTTTAAGCCAGACTGGTGGTGCCTGTAGTCCCAGTTACTGGGGAGGCTGAGATGGGAGAATCACTTGAATCTAGGAGTACGAGTCCAGCCTACATAGCAAGACAGCATTTCTTTAAAAAAAACAAAACAGAAACAAATTTTTAGCCACCCATTATTTGGATAAATAATATGAAATTAGCTTGGAACCATAATGTACAAAAATTAAAAGAAGGAATGCAGAATTGGAAAGGAGAAAGGGGAGAATTTTAATCTGGTATAGCTAGCACCTAACTATAAGTAGACAAAAAAATGTTAATGTACATGTGCATTTAATTTTTGAAGTGGAAGATATTTTTTTAAAGATTACAGTCATAAGAAACTGCTAACAATTACAACTAAAAAATAATTTAAATGGTTTTGCAAGTGATTGTGATTACATAGCCGGTTCCTCAATTTATTTTCCTGGCTTGATTGCCTGCAGATTTAAAATATGGACCTAATTTTTGCATGCTGCTCAGACTTTCTTCATTGTACTGAAATGTAGCAAAAGGTAGACTATTCTAAGTGTGTTTTTACTCTTTGAATCACTGTCATAGTTACATTGAAGTACAAGAACACATAACTCTGTGTTAAATTTAGCATAGGGCAACTTTATGCTAAATTTACGTATTTATGTATATTTTTAGCATATATATAAAAAACTAGAGTTTTTACAGATGAATGACTAACAAGTATTTTAAAAAGATCACACATTTTAAAGATCTACTGATGGATCTAAATCCATCTACTGATGGAAAACTTTGTAAAATAAGTATAGTTCAGTTGATAATATCTTTTTTTTTGTATTCACATTCCATGTTATTAATACAGGGTTTTACTTAAAAACAGGTTCATTGTTTCTTAAAGGTGAACTCTAGCTTAATACAGAATTGGACTAAGCTCAAAGATATTCACTGGTATGTGCCGAATCCACCCACTAAAAGATTATTTGGAGGCAGTTTTCACATAAATATTTTTCTGTTAACCTTTTAAAAAGTTTTATTTAGCCCCTGTGAAATATGCTAGCTCTTCTAGGTTCATTAGAGGTGACCTAAGATAGATATTTTTGGGATGTGATAGAGTTCTTATTAACCTTTTCAGGATTTTAGTTGACTTACCAATGTTTTTGTCACTTTTGTTTCACATGCATGTACTATTGCATCCTGGAAACAGGAAGCTGCACCATCCCAGTATTGTGACATTGGATAGATTGCCTGCTTGTTTCCTATATGCTGTGTACTGTATTTAGAACCCCTACTTTTCTTTCTTTTTTGAGGGGTGGTGTTGGGTATGAGGGTTGCATTTTTAAGATAATAGATTAATATATATCTTTCTTTACTAGTGTTTTGGTAGAGTTTCCTGAACAAATTCTTTTGAGAGCTTCCATAACAGAAACCACTCTGTAATGAGACAGTTAAAATATGGAGCCAACTGGATTTAAATATAAAGCTGAGTGATCCAACTTAATTATTTATTTAGACATAAATACTGTATTGAAAAGGTAAGAGTGTAGCTGGCTTGTAGTGGTCTTGTTGAAAGGCATTGGTAGGTTACTTGTTCTGGGCAGCCCAGTCCCTGAATACCTGGTTGTTTTCGAACAAAGGCAGGTCCCATAAATAGGGGGCTATTTATTTGGAACAGTCAGGAACAACAGGAACAACATCCTCACTGCTGTCCATCTGAGACTGCAGATGGAAATGTTCTTCCTCCCCTGAGCAAAGGAGGAAAGATCCAAATATTCCAGAATACCATCCTTTTCCATTGGTGGCTGTGTTAGTTAGACCTACCTGAGCGATGAGAAGCTATAGGCTTTTAAAAAAATCACGTTGGCAAGGATTCTCTTTTCTTACCTACCGAATCTAGGAAGATTAGAGGTAGTGTTAGGCTTGCGTCTATTTTTTCCATATCAATTGAGTCTGTATTTTAAAGCCCATTCATTCAAAGGAAAAAGAATCTGAAATTAGAAAGTAAGTTTTAAATGAGATTAGCACAGGTAGAATATTTTTCTGAAATCTCAGGAAAGATGTAATGAATTTAAATTTTCATGATTTTAAAAATTTGTTTGACTAATTTTTTACACTCACACAAAGATTTCAGATATGTATTTTTTTTTTTTACAAGAAACAGTCTAAGCAATTTAAGGGTGCATTTATTGGTTGTAGTGTGATAGTGTTTTTAAGCAGAAGAGCAAAGGATGAAATCATAAAGAAAAAAGAGATGGATTTGGATATATAAAAACTAAAACCAAGTTCAGAGAACAGCAGAAGAAAATAAAAAAACAAATGACAAACAACATAAATTGCAGCTACATATATAACAACAGGTTGAATATACACAAAGGACACATAGAAGTCAAAAAACAAACAAACAAAAAAACAAAGGGCTAACACCCCAATAGAAAAATGACCAAAGATCTTAGAGAATCATTTTAAAAGAACAATTTTGGCCAATCAGGAAAGTGCATACTAAAAATAAATGTTACAAAATTTCTGATTCATAAAAATTATCAGGGATCTAAAAATGGCAATTCCAGCTGTTGGGGAAACAGACCCTCACATGCTGCTGAGAGGATTGTGACTTAGTACTGCCTTTTTGACGGGAAGTAGCATAAGTACACAAAGCAAAAGCCCATGTCTTTCTAAAACTTAACTAAAATGTATGGAAAAATAAAATAGTTTTCCATAATAAACATATACTGGTTTTGTAATTAGAAAACAAATCGAGTATATTTAAGACACAGATATACAAATTTTGGCCTGAAACGCATAATCTGACTGAATTTAAACATAAATAGTATATATTAAACAGGGAAGCAGAATGGTCTCTATAACTGAAGTCCACTTGGGGAACCTTTTCGGACTTTTTTTTAAGCAAGAAGAGGAAATGTGTAATTTTCTAAAGTCTGAATGAAATTTCAGACTTTTGAAATTTGAGAAATTTGAGCTAGAAATCTAGAATATATGCTCTTTATTCTAAGAGGTCTATAAGAATACAAAGGTGTTTAAAATTAGTATTTTCAAAATTAGAAAATAGACTATAGTGACAAATGGTTAAGTGTCTTCCAGAAATTAAAAGTTGAAGTCTTAAGAACTTCTTAATTGATTTTCTCTATTAACAAAGAAACTGTACAATAAGCATAAGGAAAAAATAAGGGTAATGCTCATTTTCACTCATTTTTGTCTAGAAAGATGGAGTTTTATAAAATCTCAAAGTGTATTACAATTTGCCAAGAAACATTAAACTGCTGTGTTATTTTTAAAGAAAAAATAAGCAATACTTGCTGCATAATGTATTAATGTTTAACACTTATATAAGTTATAAAACATGATAATACCCGTGAACCCACCACCACATTTAAGAACCGGACATTACCAATACTCTTACCTTTGCCTTTATCCTCCTCTTTCATATCACCCTGCCTATCATGCCTCCCCCAACAGACGTAACCACTGTCTCTGGATTATTTAGTGTAGAGGATGGGGTCTCCCTCTGTTGCCCAGGCTGGAATCCAGTGACACACTCATAGCTCACTGTAGCCTCTAACTCTTGGGCTCAAGCAGTCTTCCTGCCTTAGCCTCCTAAGTAGCTAGGACTACAGACACAAACCACTATGCCTAGCTAATTTTAAAATTTTTTGTAGAGACAGGGTCTTGCTCTGTTGCCCAGGCTGGTCTCAAACTCCTGGCTCAAGTGACTCTCCTGCCTTGGACTCCCAAATTGCTGGGATTACACTCATGCACCACTGTGCCCAGCCTTATCTCTGGCTTTTTATGCGTAGTTGCCCCAGTCTTTATTCCTTTTATCAAATGAATATGAGTCTTTAACAGTATTTGTTTAATTTTACTTTTTTCTTAACTTTAGAAAAATAGCATCATAATGTGTATTGTCTTCTGGAACTTATTCCTCCCCCCCCCACCCACTTACCATTGCAGTTTAAGATTATTTTATTTTGTTACATAGAGTATTTCATCTGTGTGAATAATTCTGTAATGATTTAGCCATTCCATTATTGGTCCACATTTGGGATTTTTCAAGATTTTGTTGTTATAAACAAAACTGCTGTGAATATTTTTCAACATATCTATTGGTGCACATGTATCAGAGTTTCTGGGAACACACCTAGGAGCAAAATAGGGTACGTGTAAGTGAAAATTTACAAGAAATAATAGTTATTTCATAGTGGAGAGCCCATCAAAGTATCTAGTCTTCCTTATTGCCAGAAGTAGAAAACTTGTATTAATTTTTTTTACTTTTGGTTTCATTCTTTTTTTTTTTCTTTTTTTATTTCGGCATATTATGGGGGTACAGATTTTAAGGTTTCAATAAATGCCCTTTCCCCCCCTCCCCCCACAAGTCTGAGTCTCCAGCATGACCATCCCCCATATGGTGCACATCTCACTCATTATATATGTATATAAGAGAGATCCTGGAGGCTTTTTGTGGTTTTTTGTGTTGTTTTGAGTTGTTGTTCAGCTCGGTGAGTGTTCTTATGATCACATACGGAATTCCTCTTCTGTCATTTTGGTTGCCTGATTTGGGTGGGTGTCCGTTTCTAGGGGCTGGTGCTCTCCTTTGGGGTGTGTTTTCCGTTTGGTTCTTCATATTTTCGAGTTCTTTGCTGATTTCTTCCATGTCGATCAGTTGTTGTTCTCTTCTTTAGGTTATTGTTTGGGTATTCACCACCTTGTTTAGTTTCTGAGCGTTAGGTGGTGTCTGTGGTGATTGGACCACTCCCCTGTATATTGAGTTCAGTGGGTGCCGTGGAAAGGCTGTGCAAGATGCCGTCCCTGTCATTAGGTGGCGTTTGCTTGGAGGAACAGGCTATGCTGTTGATTTTGTGTCCTGTTATCAGCTCTTGTTCTGGGCGGAGCTGGGTTGGGTAAGCCTGCCCTCAGGCAGTTAGCAGGGGTCAAAGTTCTGTTCTGTGCTTCCAGGAAAAGCTGTCAGGGCAGGCTGGAATGGTCCCGCTCAGCCAGAAAGTCTGGGTGTGGGGTGGGGCTGTCTGAGACCCGCAGTCTGGACGGGCCTCGCTTCTTTCACCCTCCCCAACTCCGCAGCTACTCCTGGGCCTCTGCCAGCAGTCCAGACCACACGTCACCAGGCCTCCCCGGATTGTGATGCCGGCGGGGAGGTTCCCTGCACAGGAACACCACCTGGGCTAGGGGCTTGGCCTCCCTTTGGTGGGACAGTTGCCCTCTAGGACGCTGATCTGCCCCTGGAGGCACACACACCTCCGCAGGCTGTTCACAAATATGCCTTCTGTGCCCCGGGCAATGCTAGACCTTGGTGCAGGGGATCTGGTCTGCAGGTCCGACCTCTGGGTCCCAGAGTTCAAACTGTATCCCCACAGGAGAGGAGTTCCGGTCCCATTCACCCACAGGGAGCCCAAGCTGTGTCTGTGTCTCTCAGCCTCTGAGTCAGCACCGTTCTCCTGGGAACACCGTGCCAGCAGCACTGGGAGGGCTGCGGGTAGGGAGCTCACAGTCTGAGTTCCCCTTAGTCAGCTGTAGGGTCCCAAAAGGGAAGGTCCCGTTCCCTGAGGTGCCCCGGCTGGTGCTGTATTGTCTCTCTGGGCAGCCGAAGGTACAGTCGGCGGAGGGGAGAAGGAGGCAATATGGCGCCTGCCGTGCGGCTCGGGTCTGTGCACACAGAGGTGCACAGGGATTTGGGAGTCTGGTGCTC